GTCACAAATTATATTTGCAAAACCAGAAAGACTACAAAGACCATCTTGGGGATTTTTGATGGACCTTTTTTTCTTTTTTTCCAGGTGACATTTACAAAGAGGAAATTTGGGTTAATGAAGAAGGCTTATGAGCTGAGTGTTCTGTGTGACTGTGAGATTGCTCTGATCATCTTCAACAGCACCAACAAACTGTTCCAGTATGCCAGCACTGATATGGACAAAGTGTTGCTGAAATATACAGAGTACAACGAGCCGCATGAGAGTCGAACAAATTCGGATATTGTTGAGGTAAGATTTTGTGTGCTGTGAGGACTGTTTTTTACTTCATACTGAGATGGAGGTAATTCAAAATGAGAGGCCTAATTGTCTTTCTCAAGGTTGTAGAACATAGCCTGGAGGTGACATAACGGTGGGAAAGCAGAACAGGGACAAAGGAATATGTATTTGGTGGTTGGAGATGGTGCAGCAGAGACTGGAGGGAGTCTATGTCTTTGTGAGGTGTAAGCTTTATCCTGCAGAATCTCAGATGCTCAGCAGAAACTCCCATGAGGGGATCGCTGACTCTCTGTAGTCCAGCTTTCGGTGCTGTGTTGTCCTTTTTTCTCATTAGTCCTCTCCACACCTCAACCACTACCTCTCAGCTGAAGCTCCTCCTTGTCGCTCCCGGTGACACGCTCATAAGAAAACCTTTTGTGCCTTGTCTCCTCAAAGTTATAATGTCCAGGAGGAACTAAAAAATACATTGTAAAAGATGTCGAAGAATAAGATGCAGAATTACTGCTTTAAGGCTTTCGACTGACTTGTTTAGCTGCTTAATTATTTACAGAGGAAGGAGGTTTAATAAAATGCAAGAAAAGTTTACTTACAAGTTTCACAATGACACGTTTTATCTACCTCACACAGAATGTTCTTACCTTAGTATAGTAATAACAGTATCAAAGCAATACTATCATAGTGCTAGAGTCACCTTGTAATTATTTTTTAAAAAATTATATGAGGCAAGTTATATTTACAATTACTAAAAAGTATTAATTAAAATTTAAGATTTTCCATTTTAAGCTTCTGATTTTTGCAGAAAAGTCAGTATACTTTGTAATCACATTAGCATTCAAGCCTTGCAAAATAAATGAAGCTTTCAATGATTTTGTTGTAAAAGCAAAACGTTTGAAGTGGTGTCTACAAAACTTGTTATGTGACTTATGCAACTCCTGTTTTGAAAACACCTAAGTGATTAGGCATCTAATAGTATTATTTTAAAAAGTTTTGGACAAATGAGGTCCTGTCTTAAAGGTCAGTGATAATTTATTCATAAATGATATCTTGGCCTACACACTTAGATTACTCAGTTGTTTTTAAAGGTGTTAGTTTCATATTTTCAAATAAGATGGATCTTGTCTAAACAGAGTTTTTGGTCCTTTTGGAGTCTTGACCAAGGTTAGTCATGTATTTGAGACTAGCAATTGGAGTAAATGTGTGAATTACATATAAAATATTTTAATGATGGAGAAAAAATACAGTGTAATAGACATTGTTACAGTTGTTACAAGATGTCACAGTCACACCACCATAGATTGACAAAGACTGCAACCCCAGAATATATATCACTTTTCTGTCTACCCTTATCTCAACATTTAGGATGATACTGTTTTGCTTCCTTCATGATCTCATGGCAGATTTTCTCCCCCATTAGGAGAGAATGAGATTCTGACAGCAGAAGAAAAATTTATGTGAGTTAAGACTAAGAGAAAAGTACATAATAATTCCTCCTCTCCATCATCCGTTTTCCTCTCTTACTTCAAATCTCCTATATAGATATGAAGCATTTCCTGTCACCCAGCTCTGGAAAACCCATGTCCTGTCCAGCAGAATTCAAATTCGGTCCCCACATTCATGCCCTGTCCTCTTTCAGCGGCAAAAAGCCAGAATATTCTTAGCAGGAAAAGTTTCCTGTGATATCTTTACTTCTTCCTGCAGGCTTCCTTGTGGGAATAGGTGAGTAAGGCAGTAGTTAGAGATTTACTACTTGCTCCACAATGAATGACTACTTAAAGAATGATAGAATGGTTTGAGTTGGAAAGGACCTTAAAGATCATCTAGTTCCAACCCCCCTTGCCATGGGCAGGGACACCTTGCACTAGACCAGGTTGCTCAAAGCCTCATCCACCCTGGCCTTGAACACTTCCAGGGATGGGGCATTCACAACATCTCTGGGCAACCTGTTCCAGTGCCTCACCACCCTCTACAGGAAGAATTTCTTCCTGATCTCCAATCTAAATCTCCCCACTTTCAATTTAAACCCGTTACCCCTTGTCCTGTCACTACAGGCCCTTGTAAAAAGTCCCCCACGGCTTCCTTGTAGCCCCTTCAGGTACTGGAAGGTGCTATAAGGTCTCCCCGGAGCCTTCTCTTCTCCAGGCTGAACAAGCCCAACTCTCTCAGCCTGTCCTCATAGCAGAGGTGCTCCAGCCCTCTGAGCATCTTCGTGGCCTCCTCTGGACTCGCTCCAACCAGTCTATATCCTTCTGATGTTGAAGGACACAGTACTCCAGGTGGGGTCTCACGAGAGCAGGGTACAGGGGAATAATAAAGAGAACAATGGTTTTTCAAGAAACTTGAGCAAAAATGTAAAATTTAAAATAACGCATGTTTTCTTGTAACCTTGGGATTTTTCAGAGAAGTCCCTTTTTCTGCACAAAATAGTGGGGTAGTTTGGGTAGGCTGATAGGTAATTTTGCATGCAGAGGTGTAATTCTCTGGCTATACCCAAAATTTGGTTGGCATCCATTTTTCACTCCTCTAAAAGGAGCCATATAAAAGTAGGTAATTGAAATAAAAATTATTTAAATTGAGTAATCTAACAATAGGCAAAAAAGGCAAAGTGAGGTGCATGTTTATAGACTTTTTCCATATGTTCTGTCAGCTCTGAATTCAGTCATTTGATTGTTTTGCTGTTCCATTTTTCAATATTCTGCCTCTAATGCAAAATACTGAAGCCACACCAGTGCCAGAACTGTTTCAGGATCAAAGGAGTACTTGTGCCTGGTGTAGGTTTTAAACAAGGGTTTCGTATTGTCATGACTTTACTTGATAATTAATATTGCAGTTACGAGTACAGTAGGGGAATAGAACCCATGAAAGTATGCAATCTGAGAAATTACTTGACTCTTAGTGTAGTTTGGATATATTTTTAGGTACAGGATATAAATCTGCCACACATTTAAATATTTAAATTGATCAGTTAAACTGACTACATTACACATATTTTCCTTGTAAAGAGTCCATTTTTTTTCACTTTCAGACAGCTAGATTTCACACTTACAAGTTTTAAATCTTGTTCTGCCAGAGCAATCAACAGCAGCTGAGAATCAGACAGTATTATTAAATCTGATCATTTGCAACTAAATGACTGTTCAATAACTATATTTCAGTGGAAGAAAAGGACATAGCTGTGCTGACAGATTTCTGCACAGTGTTAGAGAAAGAAAACTTTTTTAGGTAGACTTATGAAAATTTGAAATATAACTGTCAACTGTATAAAGGTCTTTAATTTAGAATCCAATTTCTGTTCACATTCAGCACAATATTAACTATTTAGTTACTTTTTGGTTGTGGTAGAACTGTGTTATCAGTCATTAGAATGTGGTATAACTTCTTTGAACAAACTGTATTCAAAGAAAATCAAAAGAGTAAGTCTCTAAGATGTAGTTAATTACTTTTAAGTCAAACCCCTGCTATTCAAATGGAAAAATTACATTAATTTTCATGTAGGTCTAGCTGAAGCTGTTACTTTTATTAAGGATATGTTTTCAGTTTAATTACTGGGATTAATTATATTTAGCATTTCTGAAGGAATGAGTCTTCAGGCCTTAATTTGTTGTTTGAAGTATCAGAAGACACCCAGTATCATACATCTAACAAACATTACACTGTTTTTCAAGGGGATATTATTTGGCATTCATTTTAATACTTGTATTACAGCAGATCAAGCAATTTGGTCCCGCCCAGCCTATAGGTATATGATCTGATTACATCTGTCATGATGTAAAATGAAGTGACTAATGTTAAGAGAAACTTAAAGTTCAGTTACTGTTATTCTTTGAGCTCTTTTGTTTTAATGATTTAAACAAATAGCTTATACTTCTTTTACACATGCAGTAATGTTATTTATATATAATAAATACAGCTGAGATGGTCTTTTCCTGTTGCCTCATTCAAAATGGAGTTGATGAACATGCAGTTTACTATATATGACTTCTTTAGATCAAAAAAATTATCTCCCAACTGAATGTGTTTCAGTTCTTACTCAGTAAATACACTTAGAACATCCATGGGTAACTAAAAGTCAGTGTGTACTCGTGAAGGAGAAAATGTTTGCATTCAGCACTCCAGTTTACCCATTTTAAGCAACAGGGTCAATTATTGTGAGTTTTACCAAAACCAGTGTGGAGGCTTTATGATATATATTAGTTGGGGGGGTGGTGGGGAAGGGGAAGGAGGGGAAGTTGATTCTGAGACTTCTCTTTAGAGTTAACTGGATTCTTAAAACTGAAGCCTTTATGTGCTCGCCCACCAAACCACTCACACCACAGTCGTTCATTCAACTTTGCTTCCGTTAAAAAGTGCATGTTGGTTGCTGGATATAGTAACTTATTTTAAGGAACAAAAGAACCTGTGCAGGGTTCCTTTGACACAGAGGAAAAAAAGATTAATTTTGTCTTTATGCTAACTTCCAAGGGATCTATGTAAATACAAACAACAATATATTCAGCAGCTGTAATCTGAAATCCTGCAATATAATTACTAGAAGTTTTGAAATTCTTAACTCTAAAGTGGGATTAAATTTTCTCTCATGACAAAATCCTGTGTCATTTGGTACCGAAGTAGTATTTTTACATATCGAGCTCCAAGCTGTCCGAGAAGTTTTCCAATATATCCAGTTCCTATTTGCTCTATCAGAAAAAAACTTCCCATTTGAGTTGTTGTTTAACGTTATCAGCACAGTTGTATAGGACTAGGCAATAATTTTCTTATGGATATGAGGAAAGGGGGAAGATTAAATGTCAGACTTTTACAACAGACAAGTACGTGCAGTATCCATTTTTTGCATTTTCTTAAAATGAGGCCAGATCGTCCCCTTGTTTCTGTAAAACAGAAGTGGATGTAACACGACTTATTTCAGTGAAATTTCACTGCCACACTGCTGTGAGTAATGAGAATCCAGTGCCAAAGGACTGTAAACCCATCGCTTAGGAGCTCAGAAAGGACATCGCCTCTCGATTGTAGGAAGT